CTTTATCTAAAGCTAACTATAGATTCTATCTTGTTCCTATACTCAATTTACACATGTTTCCAAATGGCATCTTTTGGAGCAACAAAAATATTTCAAAATGTTGCTGCAAACGTGTGCAATATGCTGCAAATGTGGGCGACGTGCAGCGTCGACGGACAGCCCACTGCTGGGCAACGCGGCTCCCGTCGTCACGCCCAGGTCCGCACCGCTCGGCGTCGACTCCCCTCCCGCGTAGTCCGCCAAGTTTTCGCCGTACTCGCCCGCCTTCAAATATAGTTGTGTCGTTCTCGTTGATGCCGTTCACGGTGATTTTTTTTTTTTTTTTTTTTTTTTTTTTCATAGTACCAAATTCAATTCTTCATAGCCGAGCAACTTATAATAGGTTGTAAAAGATTGCGTAACTAGATAGATACCTTAAAATCAGGTCGATTAGGTTCAAATTCAAGTGTTCGACGCTGGTTAACCATATCAAGGGAGGGCGGTACGGTCCTAGGTGCAGGAGCCAGGGCGAGGGCGGAGGCGGGCGCGCTCCTCGTGGGACCCGCGCGGCCGGGCGTCAGGTGCGCCGCCAGCCCCGGCCACCGTCCGTTGCAGCCGTTCGCCGGAACTGAGGGCACAAAACTGCATGACAAGCGAAATTTCTCCACCGTATCGTCACTAGATAAAACGATCGTTTACAAGAAGCGGAAAGAGAATGAGTGAGAATGAGAGAGTGAATAAGCGGCGCGGCTCCGTGACGCGCCGGTTTCACTCCGCCGCCGCCTTGCTCCCCGTCCGCATCCATAAAAATATATATATATATATATATATATATATTTGTATTAATTATGTTTACATTATCAGAAACACCGATTGAACGAAGCTGTGCAAGGAACGGAGATTGCTCTTTTTTTTTTTACATCTCGTATCCCCTCTGCGCTATCGGTATACGCTGACGGGGCACCAGTAAGAGGTAATAGGTGAGGATGAAACAAGTCAGTTGGCCCATTATATCATAATGGAATTTTTATTGTTTATTAACCGGCTCAAGCCCAATCTCAAACCAGTTTCCCTTTTTTTTTATATATATATATTTATTAGGTTGGCGTCGTTGCTTTAAAAGGGTACGGCGGCGATAAACCAGTCAGTAAGTCATTATAATTTTCACGTATTTTTCCTTAAAAGTGTATTTCTACTGATAAGGTTGCTCTCGGTTATATTATAATAATAACCTAATTAGTATTAAATACATTCAAACTGTTGTGACATGCAGGGACATTATGCGAAGTGTTTGCCGGATGGTTATTGGAGGCAATCGTTATTAATTTATTTATTTATTATAACATTTAGTAAAACAAATACTGTTCGAGTTACTATTTTCTAATGCGACTATTTATTTAAGTTTCAGGTTAATTTTATTCAAAGAAGTCTTTAGCATTCGATCTTTGCAAGGGGTTTTGCGATTTTAAATTTTTTGCACTTTGGTAACTTGTATAAAATACAGATTCTAAATAAGTGGAAGTGACCTGGCGGCGCCGTAAGCCAGCAGCACGTTGGCAACAGACGGCGTCTCGTCACAGTCCGCCGTCCGCGTCGTGTGTTATGGCATGGCAATTGCAGTACGATCAGGTACGCAGACAAATACATTTAATAGAGGTTGCACAACTTCTATGTTATTATTCGATTTTTTTTTATATAAAATAAATAAATAAATGAAAGTTTTCGTTCCGGTAGTGACTGTGAATTGTTTTACAGTTCTCGTAGTGTGTGCGCTGTGGTTGCTAGGGGCATCGTCTGTGGACGAGGAACTCGTGCTGCCGCCAGCGAACTGGCCGCAGTGCCCACTGCCACCGGCTCATTGCACGCCTCTCGACACTCACATTCATAACAATAAATACACATTCGAAGTCGAAGGTATTTATAATTACTTTAGAAGAATAAGCACACAAGTAACGAAAAAAAAAAAAAAAAAAAAAAAAAAAAAAAAAAAACAAGTATCACAATAAAATACATTAATTTAATTTTTTTTCAGGCAACAAATTCCATTTAATATATGACACAAAACTAAGCAAACTAGAAGTGTTTTGTTACGATAGACCGATCCTGGAGAGCGACTCGCTGCCGCGGTTCAGAGATGACGTCAGCCTGTCGACCCTAGTGAGCCACCAATGTCCCGCCCCGCGGGGGTCGTACTCTAGTGTACTATCACGATTCAATATCGCAGCGCTTTACTCGTTAAAACTGAAATTAGGACGAAGGAAACAACCGAGATCACCTCTACTGCCGGAACATTTTGTCGGTCTCAACATCAGCGATCTAGAGATTTTTGGTTCTTATCGACGTCCTATATACCCCGAGGATGGCTTTTTCGAATCATTGGATGGTGTAAAGAATTTGGACCTATTTGGTATCTCGCTATCCCCATTGCCGTTGTCGAATCAGCTGAGATCAGTGTCAGCGACATCTGGCGAGTCTAACGGAGAGTGGGGCGGCTGTGAACACCTGGAGAAACTTATGCTCGCCCACTGGAAGTGGTCGCAACAAGGCGCACCGATACGCTGGCTCGCCAACTGCTTGCGGCTGCGACAACTCGAGTTACAATCTGCAAAGATTCAAGTAATACTCGATAACGGATTCACAGTCCCATCCAGTGTGCGCAGTGTCGTAATTACTAGATGTAATACCGGAACACTATCAATTCCACCAAATTTCCTCGCTGATGCATCGAACTTGACCCATCTCGATGTGTCTGCGAATAATATGTCTAAACTGGACAGGTGCGTAAAGCTTGATCTATGTTTCCTTGTTCAAAATTATAGTACAAAAGTATATTGGTGATGTTACGTTGCAGTGGTGTACTGTCGCGGGTGGCGACGACACTAGTTAGCCTCGTCCTAGACAGCAACCCGCTGGGCGACCTGTGCAAGTACAGCCTTGACGCCAATGTGACCGACAGCGGTGAGCCACTTTCGTCACTCGATATTCTCTTTAGAATTAATCATGCAAATTTTAATAAGAAGGCGTAAGAGGAAGTTGGTCCTAACCAAGAGGAAAGCTAATGTTAGTATCGCCTCCCAACACCACTATCCACTCACGTCTTTCTATTTTTACCTCTTTCGTTGTTATATACCACTATTGGTGACGCCAGTTTAAAATTAATAACATTATTCATATTAGTATTTGCGCCTACTCGCTTTTCGCTATGGATAAGGGATGGGTACTTTACATGCTCGCAATTTTAGTGGTTATCTGTGGGCTATGGACCGATTGTGTCCGATCTTTGTCGGTGCTGCCCTCTCGCGCCGATGCCCTTCTTTTTCGAACTTCGTTTTGAGTAACCGCGACTGGCCGCTTTCCTACAACTTAATTAAAAAAAAAAATAATATTTATCGGCTGTGCTCCGTGTCATCTTTCGGACCATCGAACCCCGGATCCTGTAGAGAGCTGCTGGAATTGTTCGCAGGTGAGTACCTATCTTATTTTTGAAATTACGAAAAGCGAGGTAAAAACCAGCCGGCGACCCGGCTCACATATCGAAGGAAATAATTGTTATTCTTATTGAATTGCTTCACCATTTCTTTCTGGTCCTATCGAACCTTGGATGCCTTGCTAGTAATTTAATACGTATAATTGTATTGAAATAGGTAACAAACGTATCATAAGTTAATTGAATACGTTCGTTTAGGTAGGTAGATTTAACTTGCGTTCACTGCGTTACTGAAACGCCAACATAACACCTAAGTTATCGGGTTGTGTTTTGTTATTAGTCGCGGTTTTTAGCTATATTATAATACTCGACACTAAGTTAATTTGTCGTAGTATCTATAATAATTACGCCTAACAATAAGTTAATTTGTTAGAAGATTATTTTTAACATTTTTTGTGTAGGTAGTATAAAACTAAGTTCTTTGTTATACTATTGCGGACTTGTTTTAATAACTATATCATATTTACGCAATCTCTGCGGTATATCAAGCTATTTTTAAACAAGCATAGTGCACGTACCATCTTCGTTACTATAAATGTATTTAAATATATTTGATTATTAAAGATAGAGATATTTATTATATAGCACTAAGTTACTTTGCTATATTGTGGATACCTATATTTTTAAGAATAGTTCACATCTATTTGCATTGCTGTAATGCAGACAGCATTACATTAGGTGCATATTACATTTGTTTGTATAATATATACACTTAGCGGTTGCAAATATAGTATTATTTTGTCATATTTTTTCTAATTTAGATTATTAATTACTTAAATATTCTCGTATATACTGGAGTTTAAGTATCAGTACAAAAGGTAAATTATATGTAATTAGTAGCCATTTGTAGTAGAAGTTGTAATAGTAATAAGTTATTTGCTATATGCTAGGTCTATTCCTTTACATTGCGGTTTGTTTACATTTTATCTCATTTCAAAAGAAACGCCACATTATTGGTATCCCATGCAAAATTAGCTTAACTAAACAAAAAGTGTTGCTTTGAATATTGCTGTTGTTTAGGTAAAATTGTTTAACGATTGTTTATGCATTTACTGACACGTCATAAATTTATTATATTCAATTGAAAGTGTTAGCAAGTTAATAGAATTGTTGTTTAGTGATATGAGTGATATTTATTATATACCTGTTCAAGTATAAACAACGTTTACACATATTTGAGTATTGTAATTATTTGTTGAATTTATGAAAAATAATAATTAACTTAATTTTATTTAATTAGTATAGGTACATACCTATAGATACTATGAGAACTAAGAATATACATAATTTTTTTAGTGGTTATCTATTGGTAATTGTAATAAACATGATTATTGACCTATAATCGAACATTAGTAATAACGAGGTGTCCCTATAGGTTTCTCTAACGGAATTTAATATTTTAAATAATTTATTTACTTGAAGTAGAATTTGTTAGTTTTAACTAGGTTTCTTGAAATTAAACATAACTTTATAAAAACAATACTTTTAAATAATTATCGTTTCTTATATAAACATATGAGGTGTTAATAAATCTTATTTAGTTTTTAAATTGTATATTATAGTAATTATCTTACCATGGTTCCAATTAAGGATCTTGAAAAGAAAATTAAATTGTATGAAGCTCAACGAGATCGTTCTTTTAGTCGGGTGCAAGCCATTTATGACTTAATACCAGATATTTATAAAAATGAAACTATTAAAAAACAATTTTTGAGTAAAGTTCGTACCTTGGAACAGTTACGTTCTGAATTTAAGGAAATAGTAGAACAAATTAATTGGATGAATATTGAATTAAATAAAGATTTTGAACCTTCCTTTTCGAGTTTAGATTCATTTGATGACTTATACTGTGAAATAAACCTGGTGTATGATCAGCTTTCTGCGTCATCCCAGTCTTCTCAGGCACAGCCTTTAAATGAAAAGGCTGTAACTGTAACGTCTAATAGTAATGATTATATGAAGATTCCCCGCATCGAGTTACCATTTTATAATGGCGATATACAGCAGTTCCCTTTCTTTTACGAAAGTTTCAAGCGTATGATACATGATAACAATAATTTAACAGATTCTGATAAAGTACATTATTTGTTTAATCAATTAACTGGTAAAGCCAGGTCTATAATTGTAGGCGTTGTACCTTCTGCGGAAAATTATTTAACAGTTTGGGAAACGTTAAAACTTAAATATTATGATAAACGTGAATTGGGTACTTCTTATTTGAATCAGTTACTTTCAATGAAACCTCTTGTTGGTGCTTCGGCACAAAATCTGGAAGATTTTATTGATAAGTTTGCAGCTACAATTGCTGCCTTAAATCAACTTAAGCTTGAAAATGTAACTGAATTTATTTTTGTTCATTTGGGTCTTAAGTTACTAGATCCTGATACTGCAAGAAGTTTCGAAATGTCGATTCGGAATAATAATGGTATGCCAGGTTATGAGGAGTTCGTTCATTTTGTGCGAGAACATGTTAAAGTTCTCTATCGAACCTCACAACCACGTCCTTCAATTAAAAATGAAAGATTTGTTAGCAAATCTACTAACAGTAATCGCTTGCGTACCAATCATGCACATGTTTCAACTGGTGATCCTCGTTCTAAGTGTCTGTTTTGCAACAGTGCAGTTCATGTAAAAATTTCAAATTGTGATAAATTCTTAAAATTGAATCCCATTGAGAGGTATCAATATGTAAAAGATAAGAAGTTGTGTACTAATTGTCTTAGTTCTCAACATTGGTCTTCCCGCTGTACGTCACAGCATGTTTGTAGTAAGTGTGACGGAAAGCATCACACGATTCTCCATTTTAATAATAAGCCTCCATCGCAAGCCACTGTGGCTCTTAGTAATACTGAACCATGTATTAATAATAAAGTGAACAATGGAGTTCAATTTGAAAGTGAAGGTGATCACCAAGTTTTAAATAATCAGGTATCTTTGTGTACAATGTCAACTGAAAAACGAGTTGTATCTCCAACTACTGAAGTTTTGGGTACAGCAAAGGTTGTTGCTGCTTGTCGTAATGGCAAAGAGATTTTAATTAGAGCTCTCCTTGATCCTGGTTCGCAGAAAAATTATATATCTGCCAAGGGTGCTAGACGACTAGGCTTATCTGTCAATAAAAGTTTATCAGCTTCAGTTAAAGGTATTGGTGGTTCTACTCAAGTTGTAAAGGGTAGCGTTAATTTTGTATTTCGTTCCACAATTCAACATGGGAAAAAGTATTCTATAGAAGCGCTTGTTTTAGAAAATATTACATCTAGATTGCCTACTTGCCCTATAGATATTACTAAAATATCTGGATTTGAGGGTATTGCATTAGCAGATAATTCGTGGAGCGTCCCTAATGAAGTTGATTTATTAATAGGTGTACAATTGTTTACCAATGTATTATTGCCGGGTAAGATAGTTAATGCCCCAGGCCAACCGAGTGCTATCGAGACGACTTTAGGTTATATCGTTCTTGGTGATGCTCCTATTACGACAGTGTGTACTTCGTCTCTTAGTTTTTGTGCTACATATGAAGTCAATAATTTAATAAAAAAGTTTTGGGAAATTGAGGACTTAGGAAATTCTCCTATTCTCAGTCTAGAAGATAAACAGGCTGAGGATATATTTAAATCAACTGTTAAGCGAACTAGCTACGGTCAATATGAAGTTGCTTTACCTTTTAAACTTGATTCTGAAAATTTAGGAAATTCTTTGAAGGCTGCAGAGCGCAGTTATTTACGATTAGAATCGAAGCTTCGTTCTCAACCAGCAGTTAAGTTGGCGTATGATGAGGTTATTACTGACCACCTTAAAAAAAAAAAAAAAAAAAAAAAAAAAAGGGATACTTGTCTGAAGTAGATATTGTGCCTCAAGAGAAAGCATATTATATTCCTCACCGGGCTGTTATTCGTGAGGATAAGATTACTACAAAATTGAGAGTCGTTCTTAATGCTAGTTTTCCTACTGACTCTGGTTTGTCTTTGAATGATATTTTGCATGCAGGCCCTAGTCTGCACGCGGATTTGTTTTCTATTTTATTAAATTTACGTTTGTTTCTAGTTGCTATTTCGGCAGATGTTCGTCAAATGTATTTAGCAATCCATGTTCGTGAAAAGGATCGTCCATTTCAGCGTATTTTGTATCGTTTTGATTTTAATGGACCAATCAAGGTTTATCAATATAACCGTGTTGCTTTCGGTTTGCGATCCAGCCCTTTTTTGGCGTTACGTACTATACAACAACTTTTGGAGGATGAAGGCGATCGTTTTCCTGTTGCCAAAGAAATTGTTTCTCGTGATATTTTCATGGACGATATCGTTAGTTCCATTATAAATGAACAGAAAGCTAACGATGCTGTGCGTGAGTTAAATGAGCTCTTCACGGCTGGGGGATTTGAATTGGCAAAATGGTCTTCCAATTCAGATCGTATATTACAGGAAATACCTGAAGACAGGCATTTGTCACAGAGTGTCTCATTTGATAGTGATGATGATGACAATACTTTCAAAATCTTGGGACTACGTTGGGATCCCATCGATGATAATTTTACCTTTCAGGTTAATCATGATGAACGTCCATGTACTAAACGACATATACTGTCATATATTGCTCGGTTGTTTGATGTTTTAGGGTTAGTGGCCCCTATTGTACTTTTCGCTAAATTATTAATTAAAGATTTATGGATAGCAAAGATTGATTGGGACGATTCTCCCCCAGAAAATATTGTTAAAAAATGGCATCAGTTTCAACGTGAGTTGCCCCTAATTGAGCAGCTTAAATTTCCTCGTCACATTGGTGTAACAGAAAATTGTAGGTTGACAATTCTTGGGTTTGCTGATGCAAGTGAGAAAGCGTATGGCGGAGTAGTTTATGCCTGTGTTACTACTCCTAATAATGACAATATAATCACTTTGGTTTGTGCCAAGTCCAAAGTGTCCCCATTAAAAATTGTGTCACTTGCAAGACTAGAGTTATGTGCGGCTTTAGTTCTTGCACAACTCATAAAAAAGGTTGTTTTTAATTACATGCCTCGGTTTTCTGTTCATACGATTTTAGCATTTTCGGATTCAACAGTAGCATTAAGTTGGATCCACTCAGAGCCCTATCGATGGCAAACTTTTGTAGGCAATCGTGTGGCAAAAATACATGAGAATTTGCCTAGTAAACATTTCTATCACATTCGGGGATTAGATAACCCTAGTGATTGTTTATCTCGAGGGCTAACACCAGCACAACTAGTGAGTCACCCTCTTTGGCTTCACGGCCCTCCTTGGGCAAGTAAACCGAAAGATTTATGGCCTATTAAACCTTTTATACCTCAAGGTGAGTCAATTCCAGAGGCAAAATCAGTAGTTTTAATTTCTACTTGTGATTCAAAATCGAATGTATTATTTGAGTTATCTCGCAAGTTTTCATCATGGAGCAAATATCTTCGGTCTGTTGTTTATTTACTTAAATTTGCTAGAATATTACCTAAAGGGCCTATAAGCGCCGAGGATTTATCTAAGGCTGAAATTCACATAATACGAGCACTTCAAAGTGTTTATTTTGCACAAGAATTGGCAGATCTTTCAGCTGCGAACTTGTGTTCTAATTTAGTTAGACAATTGAAACCATTCTTAGATAATGGTGTTATTCGAGTTGGTGGCCGTTTGGATAACGCAGATGTATCCTATGAATTTAGACATCCCTTCTTGTTACCCAGACGTGATCATATTGTAGACATTCTTATTGATTACCATCATAGGAAGAATTGTCACGCAGGGCCTGAAACATTAATGTCCCTTTTGCGTTGCAATTATTGGATTATATCTGCACGACGAATTATTCGTCAGAGAATTCGTCAATGTTATTTTTGCTTTCGCTTAAAACCTCAAGCTCTTTTTCCAATGATGGCTGATTTGCCCTCATGTAGGGTAAATCAAGTAGAAAAACCATTTATTCATACTGGTTGTGATTATGCTGGACCTATTTCATATACGCCTCAGCGTCGTCGTGGTGTTAAAGCCCAGAAGGCGTATATTTGTATATTTACTTGTATGACTACTAGAGCAGTTCATATAGAACTTGCTACCGAACTTAGTACTGCTAGTTTTCTATCGGCTTTCAAGCGTTTCCTGTCCCGTCGTGGTCCGGTAAAATATATGCACTCTGATAACGGAACCAATTTTATTGGTGCCAAATCATACTTACGCGAACTGCATAAATTTTTAGCCAATGAGTATAAAAAATATTGGAAACAAGAGCTCGCGGAAAACCGTATTTCTTGGCAAATGATTTGCAGGAATGCCCCTCATCATGGCGGTAGCTGGGAGAGTATAGTGAAGGGAACGAAAACCCATTTGTATAGGACAATTGGTCAGCAAATATTATCTTATGAGGAATTGGTGACCGTACTCACACAGATTGAGGCATTGCTAAATTCACGACCACTGTGTGCTCTTAGTTCTGACCCTTCGGAACCCAGGGTTTTAACACCCGCTCATTTTCTTAATGTGGTGCCTTTAAGCTATTTACCTGCATATCCAAATATTACATCGTCTGACCACCTACTGCAGCGGTATGAATTATTGGATAAAATCGTACAATCTTTCTGGAAAAGATGGCGAAACGAGTATTTGCACACACTCCAAGTTAGACAAAAATGGAATACACCGTCAGTGCCTATTCAGGAAGGTACGGTTGTTGTATTAATGCAAGACAATATTGCTCCATTGTATTGGCCCCTTGGCCTGATAGTTAAAACCTTTCCGGGAAAGGACAATATAGTACGTATAGCACTTGTTAAGACTAAAAATGGTACTTATCAACGGCCTGTCGTGAAATTATGTCCTCTTCCTATGCAATAGTATTATTTAATTATAGTTAGTTTAGATACTCCATCAGGAGTCCGTAAAAGTTTAAATATTAGTATAATTTCTTATTATAGTGCGATGTAATAGTTATAGTTGTTATGTTGAAAGGCATCCTTTCAAGGCTGGGGGAGAATGGTGACGCCAGTTTAAAATTAATAACATTATTCATATTAGTATTTGCGCCTACTCGCTTTTCGCTATGGATAAGGGATGGGTACTTTACATGCTCGCAATTTTAGTGGTTATCTGTGGGCTATGGACCGATTGTGTCCGATCTTTGTCGGTGCTGCCCTCTCGCGCCGATGCCCTTCTTTTTCGAACTTCGTTTTGAGTAACCGCGACTGGCCGCTTTCCTACAACTTAATTAAAAAATAATATTTATCGGCTGTGCTCCGTGTCATCTTTCGGACCATCGAACCCCGGATCCTGTAGAGAGCTGCTGGAATTGTTCGCAGGTGAGTACCTATCTTATTTTTGAAATTACGAAAAGCGAGGTAAAAACCAGCCGGCGACCCGGCTCACATATCGAAGGAAATAATTGTTATTCTTATTGAATTGCTTCACCAACTATGATAAGTCTCGCCTTGTTAATTAAAAAAAAAAAATGCGGCTTTAGTACTTTTACTACTAATCACCAGATTCTGTCACCCTCTAGTGTCAAGAGCTTTAATCTGTCTTTCTGCATATGCGTCCTTCTGTTGCTCTTGAGAATAATTCTCATATATATTATATAATATAATTAATAATTTTATTCCTGCTTTTTTTTATATTTGTCAAGTTGTCATAAACCTATGTTTCTGTCCGTTGCAGCGCGATCGGGATTGAGCCTATGGTTGCCAATGCTAGAGCATTTATCGCTGATGGGCACAGGCGTAACGCGGATCTGCTCAAGCTGGCCCGTCGACATGCCCGCGCTCACATACCTTGACCTCTCTCAAAATTCAGTCCACACTTTACAGGTCAGTCATATTGTAAGACTACTATTCTATAGGAACATCTGAAAAATTAGAGAAATTTTAATATCAATACAGTTATTAGCGGTTAACAAAATACAATAATCACAGAATCTACGTATTTCTGGGTGTTCATAGATGAATCTGTGGTAGAATACTGAGACAGAGTTAGTCCAATACAATGTTCCTTCAAATCTCATCTTTATCGTTACCTCTTTCTGTTTACCTGGGCTCGACTCTCCTTGCCCTCGTGTGCCTTTTATTTTATTTTATTTTTTTTAACGTCTGGAAAATGCTTTATGCAGACCCATACACCTTGTGGGAGGTGAATGGGTACTGTGGGAGTCCCCCCGTAAGGTGGGGGTGTACCCACCAAAAACCAGACGATATACCCTCGAGGTGCCATATGTCGGAGACATGGGTTCGCTTTCGCACTCACCACATCTCCGACGGCAGCGACCCGCCCCTTGATGGTAAGAGCAGGTCTCCTCTCTCAAGATAGGGTGGATGGCGTGCTCACCCTACCACTCGGGGGATGCGCCGGTATATTAGCACATCCCCCAGGACCATTGGGACAATACCTTCCCACAGGTATCACCCCGGCCCCAGTGGGGAAGGAGGAGGGGCGGAACTGGGCACGCCTCTTCTTCTGCGTCTGACTCGTCTGCGGCGGATTGACGGTGCGAGAGTGGCACTCTCCCGCTCCCTTTCCGCCGCCTCCTTCTGCGACATGACGGCATCGCAGAAGACGAGCATTGCTTCCCACGATCTCTCACTGCTCACCATCCGCCGGACTACGGCGGGCAGCGAGAGATCGGTCCCCACTACCGCGGACAAGACACGACGCTCATCGGCATACGCTGGGCACTCCTCCAGCGTATGCTCCGCCGTGTCCTGGTCCGCTCCACAGGCATGGCACTCCTCCGTCGGCTCCCTGCGCGCGATATGACACAGATATCGCCCAAAGCACCCATGCCCGGACAGTATCTGTGTCATCCTGAAGGTCAGCGGCCTTCGCCGCCTGTCCATCCACTTCTTAAGAAGTGGACGGATAGCCTCGACGGTCCTCCGGCCGGCCGATGGCTCGGCCAGCCGCTGTTCCCACTCCCGCTGCAGGACCCGTCGAACGTGGGACTTCCGCAGCGCAACTTCCAGGCTGGAAGGCTCGGCACCCTGACGCCTCCGCTCCGCACGCCACTCGTAGACCGACGCACAGGCATTGGCCTCCAACTCCCAGGGCGGCGAGCCCGCCATCGCCCATGCCCCCTCCGTGAAGATAGTGCGGTATCCGCGTATAATGCGGATCGCCATGGCCCCATGTGGCCTGTTTAAACAGGCCACATTTTGCCTACTCAGGGCCCTGTTCCATATCGGGGCCCCGTATAAGGCCATGGACCTCACCACCCCAAGGTAAAGGCGGCATGTGCTCCCTCCTGGCCCTCCTATGTTTGGTAGCAGCCGGCTTAGAGCACCGGCAGCCGCCATAAGGCGGGGGGCCAACCTCTGGAAGTGCCTACGGAAGTTCCAGCGACTGTCTAAGTCAAGCCCCAAGTACCTCATATGGGGCTTGACGACCAATCTCTGGCCACTGACCATTATGTAGGCTCTCTCTGGTGGCGCTCGTCGGGGTCTGTGAAAGCAAAGTACCTCCGACTTCTCCAGCGCCATATGGAGCCCAAGGCGACGCGCACGACCGACGACGAGTGCCACACTTGCCGTGGCAAGACGGGCAGCCTGCCCTCGTGTGCTTGATAATTTTTGTTCTTTCGAATAATATTTATATTTAATATATTACAGTATGAAGCTATCCATTGGTTGGGCTCCCGACCTTCTGAGCTCATCTTAACGGATAACGACGTCAGAGTCATCATGTACCATAGAACTAACTACCAGAACTTACTCAAACATAATTGCACACAGGTAAATTGTAAAACATTTGAATATAACTTAAACGTGACATGACAACAATAATTAACACTTTGGAATAGACACAAACATTAATATAATAATACAGTGCAGTCTCATTTTCCTTTGGCGTAAACAGAAATCGAACAGAAATATTACATAAATAATATAAATCAATTTGCAATTGAAACTACATTATTGTTCATTCACAGAGCCATGTAACAGTGCATATCACACACCCGCTGACTTGTGATTGTCATACATACTGGTTCGCGAGGTCCTTCGCCGACTGTCCAGGGCACGTGTCCTGGCTGGAGACACCGAAATGTAAATCTGGCAAACTCGTGTCGGAGGCCTCAGTCGATGACATGATATGCGCACGACACGGCATCAACTGTTCTGCTGGCTGCAAGTGTTTCTCGAGAGAGAACCTAGAGACTACCATTGCTAATTGCACGGACTCCGCGCTAGAACATTTACCAGCCGTCCCTCGGCTGAGCCATCTTTACGCAGCCTTCAATCGTATCGATGATTTCAATAGCAGCGACATTCCGGAAACACTCATTGTAAGTTATCGTGATATTTCACATGTCATGTTCTACACTTATTTCAGTTCTCTAATCTTTTATTAATAAAGAACATATGTAAATAGATCTCAAGATGATGTAATGACAGTTTGCAGATCTGAAGTATAACAGCATTACCCACTTGTCTGCGGAGACGGCGAGCAAGCTGTTGTCGATGGGCGAGCGGCAGGTGCTGCTCGCTGGCAACTTGCTGTTGTGCGATTGCAACAACAAACCGTTTCTCAATGTTTTATACAAACATCAAAACCAGGTAAGAAAAAAAAAATCTTTGTACTTTAAATATATACATGCATCTTATAATATTCTAAATAATGGGTCGAAGAGAATAATCATGTTTGCCACTCATTAGCCAATAAACTAAATAATTTTTATCGGAGTTTGCTAAATTTGTTTATTATAACGTAATTCTTTGAGTTCAAAGCAGAATCTTAGAACTAAGATTAATAGTTGAGACAGAGATATCCACGCACGCACAAACTATCCATTTCCTGTATTTAGACAGGAAGTTTACAAGAGCCCTTTCTATAATATCATATCAATATATGTATACACACATGTTATTATATTTAATTATCTGCTTAGGTTTTAGATTACAATTTGACGACATGCCTCGATGAGACTCCACTGACGTCCATCGACATAGAAGATCTGTGCGCATTACCTCCACCCGCACTGCTGTTGTACAGCTTGGCTCCGGTAGTGATGCTACTGATAGCATCACTACTGGCTTTTGGCCTGTGTTACTACTACCGACACGAATTAAAGGTATACCTATACGCGCGCGGCTGCTGCATGTTCTGGGTGCACGAGGAGGAGCTGGACCGCGACAAGAAGTACGATGCGTTCGTTTCGTTCTCTCACGCGGACGAACAGTTCGTGCACGAGAGCTTGGCTGCGGAACTCGAGCGGGAGCCATGCGGTTTCAGACTGTGCATCCACACACGCGACTGGTTGCTCGGTGAGTGGATACCGACGCAGATCGCTGTCTCCGTGGAGCAGTCGCGGCGGACTATCATCGTATTGTCCCGCAACTTCCTCAGCTCAATATGGGGACGTTTGGAGTTTCGTACGGCTCACATTAACGCCATGCGAGAAGGTTGGGCGCGAGTTATTATCATTTTGCTAGAAGAAGTGAACGATCACGCAGAATTGGACGCGGAACTGAAAGCTTATCTCTCCTCGAATACATATGTGAAATGGGGTGATCCATACTTCTGGGATAAATTGAGATATGCTCTGCCGCACCGACGTGGTGAGAGGCGGGCACTTAGAGCCGGCGAGGAGGTGGCGCGGGACTTGCATCATATAATGGCACGCGAGGCGCTCGGGCCCGGGCAGTTCGCTGACGCCGCGCCACTCGAGCTCCGTTTGCCGGCACCACAAATGCTATGCATAGAAGCTCCAAATTAAACTTTTGCTTTTAGAGAACAAAATAATTGTATTTGAAATCAATGTTATTATTAATTAAAATTAATTAACTATTGAATTTTTTTTCTTTATATTTCAATAATTAACTTTGTGTATATAATTTAAAATACTAGGTACTTATCTTGACAGTGTTTAACTTCTATAGTACTCATACTATTGTTTATACTGTGGTTTAACAAAACTATGTCTAAGTTATTAAACATTATTTAATCAGCGTAATATTGTTTATTTGTAAAGTTTATATGCCAATGTCTGTATAAAGAGAGAAGAAATAAAATTTATTGGTATAAATACCTTTAATATTTAATAAGATACACCTTTCTTTTGTTTAGACAAAAACAGATTTAGAGACGCCTTTGTAGTGAGACTTATAACCATGTACAGAACAACTGTCCATCGCAAATTTAACTTTTACGTGGTAAGACGCTTAGGATTTTATATATATATAGGTTTATATGAACCCGAAACAAGAATTGCTGACTGGCTCTAACAAAGCAGATTGTTCGGATTTTTTTTTAGTAATTTAGACAAAAATAAAACAGAATCTATTTTTTTTGCAATATAGAATGGCAAACAAGCTGACATGCGTTGCCATTCCTGAGGACTCAGATGTTATTCCTCTGTGCCCTGTAAATTCACGCCCGATGTCACATAATATTTGTAATAATTTTAGCAAATGTACTTAGTAAATGTAACTTTAGCAAAGCACAGAATAAGGAAAACCTGCCTGCTACGGCCACGTAATGCCCACTTAATGTATTGTTCTCGAGTCGATATAGTATAGTATATTACAGCAAGTATCATCCTGAATTCTCGTCAGTGATTAAAAGAGACAAAATATTAGAAGCGATTAAAAAGTTCAATAAGAATAAAGCTCCTAATGATAAGTTAAATACATCTCATTTAAATTTGAAAGTACCTAAAAAAACAATATTTGTATCTGAAACTCTGACCCAAAAAACTCGAAGACTTTTTTATCTCTCTCGAGAATATGCTCGAAATAATGGCTATGCTTTTTGCTGGACCTCCAGAGGAGTTATATATCTTCGTAAAGCTGAAAATATGCCTCTATACAGAATTAACGACGAGAGTGATCTTCCTAAGCCGAAACAGATAATTTGACTAGATTTCTTGTTGTTTGTCGCATTTAATTTTATTCTGGTTTACTTTGATCTTACTTATTTTATTATATGTAGTAATTATTATAGTATTAACATATTAAGCAAATCTGCTGTTAAATTATCCACATTTACTTCTAGAAAAGTACATGCATTTACACAACAACTTACATCACATATATCTCATCATATTACATCTGTCTGTTTTAAAATGGTCTTATATTTGTTTGCCTTTTTGTCTAAAAACTTAAAAATGGCTCAGATTTTGAAGTCGGTGATATCATTACTTATCATTAAAAAAAAAAATGGTTCATTTATTTTTATTTTTAAAATTCAATATATTAAATAATATTGCTGATGATTTGGATCAGATTGAGGTATCTAAATCTATGGTATGTGACACGGAAAAGTGTATTGACTTTGTTCCTAAAGAAAAATGTTTAAAAATTTTAACTCAAAATGTTCGCAGTATCGGTAAGAACTTTGATGGCCTTGTGGTGCTATTGGCGCAAATTAACGTAGATGTTGACATTTTGATTTTAACTGAATGTTGGTTATCATTCTCCCCTGTAATTCCAACTCTTAAAGGATATAATCACTGTGCAAACAAAATCTATCACAATCAGAATGAGGGTGTCATCATCTATTGGAAAAATACTCTCAATATTAATATAGAAGAACCGACTTTTAAACACGGTAATGCTCTTGTAATGGAGTTTGGATCTGAGTATGCCATAATAGCTATTTATCGATCGCCTTCTTACTGCAATATTGAACAATTCCTTGAATCACTTAATTTAATTTTGTCGAAACTAAAAACATTCAATAACATTGCGGTAATGGGAGATGTTAATATAAATATAACAAATGATTGTGAGGATCATAGATCAGTTCAGTATTTGACTCTTTTGGCAACACATGGTTTATTTCCAGCACACCTTTTCGTAACACGTGATAAAAGTAATTCATGTTTAGATCATGTGATGCTAAAATCTAAGAGTCGAGCCTTAACTATTGTACTTCAATCAACATTAACGGACCATAAAGCAGTGTTACTATGCTTATCATTTAATCAGATTGTAAATGTCTCGATCCAATTCGTTCAAAATTAAATATGATAAGTTTTAGCAAAAATATAGAAAATCTTGACTTGGAGTCTATTTTTCAAATTACCGATCCAAATGATGCCATTAATTTTTTAATTTCTAATCTACAGTCATTGATTAATAAACACACGACTACGTATAAAGTTCCTAGGTCTAAACGAATCTTAAAACCTTGGATTACTCCTGGTTTACTAAAATGTATAAAGAATAAAGATCAACTACATAGAAAACATAAAAAGTTTCCAGATAATGAAACTATCCGTTTAACTTACCATCGATATCGTAATTTCTGTAATGATATTATAAAGAAGGTTAAAACTGAATATGAAAGACAAGAATTAAGTAAAGCTGGTAATGATAGTAAAAAATTATGGAAAACTTTAAAAAATATAACTCATAGTGCTAAAAATAAACAACCACCTCATGAGCTTATAAATTTAAATGATCCCCAGCTATCAGTTGATGAAATTAATGACTATTATGCAAATGTAGGCCAAAATCTTGCAGGAAGGATGCCCCAGACTGGACAAAATTATCTTAATATTCCTTATGTTTCTTCCGGTAATAATTATTTTAATTCTTTTGTTATGCTCAGTACTGACGAAAATGAAATCTCACAATTAATAATGAACCTAAAAAATGATTGTTCAGTTGGATGGGATAACATATCTAATGTAATTCTTAACAAATTTAAAAATAAATTAAGTCCATATTTAACTTACATATTTAATTTATGTCTTAGCCAGGGTGTTTTTCGGATGCACTAAAAATTTCCCTACTTTATCCAATTCACAAGAGTGGTGATAGAGACCGTGTAATAAATTATAGACCAATTTCAATTCTTCCGTCTCTATCTAAAATATTAGAACGTATTATTAATATTAGACTAATAAAATTTCTTGAGAAAAATAAAATTTTGTCAGATAATCAATTTGGATTTCGTTCAGGAAGGTCCACTGATGATGCAGTGGAAGAGATGTTAAATTTTATATCTAGTAGCCTAGATCAGGGTAAAAAATGCCTGGGGATCTTCTTGGACATTGCTAAGGCTTTTGACACGGTCTCTGTTACTACACTTTTACATAAACTGGAGAAAAGTGGAATAAGGGTACTCAGCTTGCACTATTTGAGAGTTATCTTTCAAATAGAACACAAATGGTTGCAATAGGCAATTATAGGAGTAAACCTCTTCCCATAACCTATGGTGTCCCTCAGGGCAGTATTCTTGGCCCTACTTTATTTTTAATTTATATAAATAATCTATGTAAACTGAAACCCCTCCATGGTAATATCATATGTTATGCCGATGATACGGCTCTCCTTTTCACTGCAGATACTTGGGAGGAGGTATTTCGTGCTGCAAATGAGGGAATTAATGAAGTCACACAATGGCTTACTAATAATACTCTATCTCTAAATACAGAAAAAACTAAATATCTTGCATTTTCCATCCGGGAGTCTACTCAACCGTCTGTTAATTTATGTATTACTGCCCATACTTGTTTACCATTACAGCTAAAAAACAATAGAACATGCTCATGTAAATCTTTGGAAAGAACACAGCTAATAAAATATTTAGGTGTATTTATTGATAATAATTTAACATTTAAACAGCATATAAATAAATTAACTTGTAGAATTAGGAAACTTATTTACATTTTCAAACGTCTGAGGCAAGTTGCAGATATGAAAATTCTAAAACTAACTTATACTACATTGTGTCAGTCCCTTTTGACCTACTGTATAGTTGCTTGGGGTGGTGCTCCTAAGACAGTTCTAATAAATCTTGAGATTGCACAGAGAGCTGTTTTAAAGGTTATTAATTTCTATGATTTTCAATATCCCACAAACTTGCTATACCAAAAATGTAATGTTCTTTCTGTCCGTAAATTATATATTCTTAATACTATAAGTAAACAACATTCTATATATCAGTTTGATGCAAATATTTCTGAGCATAAAAGAAGAGTTAATGATGTTCAAGCTTTAAAAAGTTATAATAAATTTCACACATCATTTATTCGGAAGTTTTTATTATTTTTGGGACCATATTTATATAAAAAGGCAAATAAGGAATTATCTATATATTCAAAAACTAAACATATATGCAAAAGAATTGTTAGTAATTGGCTATTAAGTAAGACATATGATGAAACTGAGGATTTGTTATTAGTAGTATGTTAGGTTATGACTGCCATTTTAAAATAACTCATCCATTCCATACATTCACAAATTACACAGTCAAGATTTCATTTACAAAATATTATTTTGGGCAAATTAAATTATTACCGTATTAGTACCTTAACTTGTATTGTTTCTTTATTTGTATAATTTTGTGTCATTGTGCCGTATAGGGAAGAGCACTGCTTATCCTAAAGTACAGGATTTACCTATTTAGGGAGCAGAGTTTTACCTATATTTAAAATGTAACATTTATTTTTGAAATAAATTATTATTATTATTATTATATTATTATTACCTACCTACAACAGGCCAGGCGAATGTTGTCTAACAAGTTTCGATACATTTTTATTTATTTATACTTTTGCACACATTAAAAAATGTCTACGGGGCGGACTTAATGTTTGATGGCATTCTCTAACAGTCAACCGCCACGCCAAACAGAGAAAGCAAATGGCGGTGCATAGATTTTAAAAAAAGAAGTAGTATATTAAATAAATATTATAAATATTAAAAAAAAAAAAAAAATATAAATAAACATACAAACACATATAATATACTTACATATATATATATATATATATATATATATATATATATATATATATATATATATATAACCTGTTTCTTTGCATTGGTATCGAAAGGTGGCGATTGCTAAACATTCCCCCACCGTGGTCACCGTGGACGGCCTTTGCTACAGCTTCCTGCGCTACACTAGCGGCGTATTGCAGGACGAGAGATGGTAAGGCTAATTCTGCTAATATTGTAAATATGGAAGTCGTTTAAGATGTTTAGACGTTTGTAACTCAATCACTGTGCCGTATTAACACCGCAGAATCTTTGCACAATGACTGTGTGGTCCCGGCATAGAACAGGCCACCTCTTCCGTTCCCGTGGGTGTCGTAAGAGGCGACTAATGGAGGGCGAGGGATGGGCAGCAGCGTTAGCTCTTAAAACATCCCTAAAGCCCAATTGCGGTTGCCGATCCGCCTGCCAAGCGTGGCAACTACTGGCAACAACAACAAATTGTTTTAAATTTTATGTATGTTAGCATCATATATTTATTTGAATCTTCGCCTGTGTAAATATACCGATAAATGTGAAGGAAAATCCTTTCATTTTCCGTTCCCTAAATATGTTCAAATGTTTATAAGAAAGAAATAACTAACACTGTGTTTACGTGTGGTCCCGGCATCTATGCCGGGCCACCGCTTCCTATCCCGTGGGTGCCCTGGGTACAGAAAACAGGCGACTAAAGCAACTTAATTGTTGAGGAATTGTCAGGAACGCGTTCCTTTTGAAATATCACCAAACCCTAACTGCGGTTACCAAGCCGACTGCCAAGCGTGGTAACTACTGGCAAAACATCCCTTACGGGGAAGCTCTGTGTCCAGCAGTGGCCAATTAACGGCTGATATAACTAAGTGATATAACTAACTGATATAATATTTATCCGACTACGCCAGTTTCTTAACGGAAGGTAGAGAGGACCGAGTACGCACCAAAGACTGACCCAGCGTTGGCAGATAATTTTTTCGCAATTTAGGTATTTTTTTTAATAATTTATCAGAAATGTTGAGCGAAGGCTTGACATATACATCATATAAGGTTATGCAGACTGCAGACGTGTTTGATAATTGTCTGGTCATGTTTTAGATCACATCGTCCAGACAGTGCTGTGTTCGTATCAAATTATATCTAAACGCCGACCGCCCGCGTTGTGTCAGCGTCACGCACTGCTCCAGTCACCTGCTGCATAGCTGCTATTAGTTCGATCCTCGCACCACTTGTGTACAAGCTAATAACATACCAGTTCATATTGCACGTGAGCATTCGTACCGGATTGTTTTCCTTGTTGGATACATTATCAATGCAGTGCATAAATGTTTCAATTATGTGCACAATAATCGTAGTAGTGAAGTTTTAAAATAACCAGGTAAAATGTAATCATTTCATGTTAGTTTCTGTATTTATTAGCTGTCGCAATGATTTCTACCGAATTAACGTTACAAACTTGACATTTGCTTTTATAAAAATGTTACTTTTAACATGTACTGGTGTAAATAATATTCCATATATCGTTGCAGTAAGGAGGCATCCATTAAATAGTAAGTAAATATAGTTTAGTTACACATTTTTAACTCACTATAAAACTCAATTGGATCGTAATTTTTCTTATTTATATGTTACACTGTAATTTCGCTAATTCTTAGGCGATTTTGTTTATTCTTTTTGATTATTGTTTTTTTTTTTGTTATAACTAAAGCCTGAGTTTTTCTTTGAATCCTGTTTGCAATGTGTCTCTGTTTCCACAATTTCGCATTTTCATCTCAAATAGGATTTAAATATTATATTAAATTAAATTATACATTTTAAATAAAAAAAAAAAAAAAAAAAAAAAAAAAAAAAAAAAAAAAAAAAACTGTGACATATATTTATTTTTATAATTATTACACTGTTGATATACCTTTAAGATACATCAACAGTTAACAGACATTAATTGACATAAAGGGCCTGCGTCTTGCATTTACTTATTTACACCAAACACAGATAAACACAACATTTCCTTAAGACGTCAAGTTCGCATTAATAAAATTAACACTGATCAAACTAAGTTCATTATGACTATTTTTACTAATCATTATTTTTTTTTAACACGGCTTTAATGTCTGGTTTTGTATTGTTTGTGCAGTAAAATTATAAATCACATTGTAGTTGAACCTACTCGTATTATAGACTACAGATGTACTACAGATGTTGCGTTTGCGACTTTAGTGTTGTGGGCGGTGATGGTTGCGTCGCTCGCGAACAATGCGCTGTGCACCCGGGAGCCGCGGCCGGGCATGGTGACCAGCGGACCTCCTCCCCCGCACTACCCGCAGTGCCGGCCGCCGCCTGCCGCCTGCACGCCGCTGTACGGGAACAACAACGATACCGATGCCGATACCTTCTACAAATATAATGTTAATGGTAACCACTTATACAATGTACAATATTCAGTATTCACGTCTATTTCTCTAGGATAGGATTTAATTTTTTGTGTTGTAATTATCATACTTATTACTATTTTGATGAGCATACTTTTTATTATTTATAGGGAACATCTTCACTATATCGTACAATAATATAAATAAGGAACTCGACCTTACATGCCCGCTGATATTGAGCCAAGAGAAGTTGGACGACTCGCTGCCGAGCTTCCGTCGCGTCGTCGTCATACCAGCCGTGTATATTGACAGCTGTGAGAGAGCTGATACTTCATATGTTGCACTGCTCGCAAGCCTGAACGTTACCGGTTACAGAAAACTGACCTTGCACATCTCTCAACGGCCGGTTTCACCTTTGAACTCCTTAAAATTTGTAGGCCTCAACTTAACCTACCTTTACATTAGGGGTTCCCTTAATGAGATAACATACCTCTCGGATGACTTCCTCGAGCCACTCAAAAATTTAACTAAATTACATTTGATAAGAAACCTGTCAGTGCCACCGCTACCTCCTTCAAACCGGCTAGAGACTGTGATTACTTTTGACGGAATATCTCGCGATGTGTGGGGTGGATGCGAGCAGTTGCTCGTTCTGAATACATCGTCATGGGGGTGGAACACGAGCACGGGCTCGCCGCCGCCGGGTTGGCTCTCTGATTGTCCAAAGCTTATAGAGCTACGGCTTCGAAGTCCAAAGTTAGGACCACGACCAGAGGAAGCATTAGCCAAAGCCCTGGTCGGTCTAAAAGCACTAGAGGTACTGGAAATATCCAGAAGCCACATAGAGAGTCTACCTTCTGATTTCTTTATTAACTCGACTAACTTGACTAGTCTCGATCTCTCTGTGAATCGACTGATATACTTGCCGAGGTTCGTATAAATGATAATACTATTTACTTAAAACCAAATATTTGACAAAACAATCGTATTTAGGTATACTTTAATAGATATCATTGCTGTTCAACTCAGTATGTCTTGCTAATACAATGGTACCAAAATTCAAGCTAGCTTACATCTTCTATCTTCTATATATATATAGAACTAAAGAACTAGTTTCGACCACAACTTTAACTATGTAGACTTGTTAACAATATTAGCGCAAAGCAGAACTATTACTGTGGTATTATCGAGGTAAAAATGCTATAACTTTGACTTATTGAAACATCTATATGATAATTGTTAATTTAATTTAGTGCCAAGTACTCTTGTACTCATGTACTCTTGTTACTTGCTACGACATACGGATGCACTTGGCAGCACGTTACTGCAACCTGCTGCGACGAAGCTAACAACGCTGCTGCTGTACAGCAACCTACAGCTGCCCGACCTCTGTGATTACGACCACCATGACGACGGCGACGACAGCGACATCCTAAGCGGTGAGACAACTGCACTGCGCTTATTATTCAACGCGCGCTAACTAAACGATATTCAGTCATCGTACGTAAACCTGCTCAACATCCGACTTCAAAAAAGAAACCTCCTCCTTTGTCAATTCGATTGTTATTTTTATGTTTGTTACCTCATAAATCCGTCATTCATAAAACGATTTGAATTCTTTTATATCTGAAAGGATATACATTGAGGCTGGCCCCATAAATTATTTTATAAAAATCGGTTCAGTTTTTAATTTAAAATAACTCGTTTTGCCACATTTAAACACGACATTTGAAACAAAATTTTAAATTATCACATTACTGTTGTGAAGGTACGAGTACCACCCACTAATTTCACTGCCACATTTCACTCTTCAACCTCTGTCTACTGCTGAACATAAGTTTTCTTCACATTTCCCCAAAAATTACATGTGTGTGCGAATACAAGAAGTGATACAATTAAATTGTATCACTTCTTGTATTCGCACACTTGTCAGGTACGTCGCCAGTATCTTTTGAGGACTTTCATCATATAATACTGACTCTTTTAAGAGATTAATGAATATTTAATGAACACTAGATGTGTTTGCCGCGACTTCGGTGCTGCGGCTACCAGTGCTGCAGCAGCTCTCGCTGTCGGCAACTAACGCCACCCGGATATGTCCGAGTTGGTCCCGCGACCTACCTGCACTCACTCGGCTCGAACTTACTGGCAACAGCATTCATAAACTACGGGTGATTAACTCAAGCATTGTGTTCATCGTCATAATTTTAAACATTATTTGTCTCTGCTGGGCATACGTACCAATTCAGTTCAACCACATACTGCCTCTTTCAAGAACATCATATTGTCTAAATGAAGTACTTGCACATCAGACATCAGACAACTTATAACAAAATGTACTAACTATTTTCAGTTTGAGGACATAAAATGGTTGGGTGCGCGTTATTCGGAGCTTCACTTGACTGGCAATAGATTACAGAGTATAGACTATTACATGGAAGACTATTTGCAAATAATACAAGGGCACTGTACCAAGGTAACCTTTCTAACAGAATTATTAAAAGCTACAAAATTGACAAACCGCGAGTTTCCATCTTATAGATTTTTTAATTTGTTTAAGTTTGGCTTGGCTGTGTATATCAGTCGACCACTAGCTTGTGACTGTCACTCGTACTGGTTCGCCCGGACCGTCGCCGAGTGCCCTGACCACCTGACATGGAGGAGACCACTGCGCTGCAGCAGTGGCGCGAGCGTAGCGGCCGTGCCGCCGGCGTCCATGGTGTGCCCGCGCTACCCAGACGAGTGCGCGGCCGGCTGCACGTGCTACTGGAGGGAGCGCCCCGACGCCACCATCGCCAACTGCTCGGACCTCGTCGGTGGCCGCCTGCCGCTCATTCCACACTTACACGAGCTGAATGCTGCAGCCAATCAAATTGAATCGCTTGAAAATTTTCCTGCCACTCTAATTGTAAATACCTATATAATCAATATGACAAATGTCAAATACGTACTATAATATACATCCTGCATCTTTTAAATAATTGTAATTTGTATGCAGTATGCAGATCTGCAATACAACAGGCTACAACTCATATCACCGGAAGCGGCTGCTACACTATTTTCTGTACCCCATCGACGCTTACTCCTAGCTGGCAACCCAATACTCTGTGACTGCGAAAACAAAGCATTAATCGATAAATTACAACTGCATCGGCAACAGGTGAGCCTCGTATATAAGACACTTACGCGTATTTCTACTATTTTATTTTTACATACTCAGTGTTATTATTTTACAGGTAGAGGATTACCATGAAATGAAGTGCGTAGATGGGAGAGTACTAAGCAGCGTCCTCATTGAGGATCTATGCGCGCTATCCAAAACATTAGTCCTGGTGTACAGCTTGTCTCCTTTAGCGGTGCTATTGATCTTGGCGTTGATCTCTTTTGGATATTTCTCCCGTCACCAACAGCTGATCAAGATATTCTTCTACGCTCATGGATGGTGCTTGTGTTTGATCAGCGAAGGCGACCTCGATCGCAACAAGAAGTATGACGCATTTGTATCGTACTCACACGTCGACGAACACTTCGTATTTGAGCACCTGGTGCCGCAATTAGAAGGCGAGCCGCACAGGTTCAAGCTGTGCATCGACACCCGAGATTGGGTTGTCGGTGAGTGGATACCGGTTCAGGTAGCGCTTTCCGTGGAGGAGTCACGTCGAACCATTATTTTACTGTCCTGCAACTTTTTAGATTCAGTGTGGGGTCGCCTCGAGTTTCGAACAGCACATAAGAGTGCGATGCGTGAGAACCGTTCACGTGTCATAATCGTGTTGCTCGAAGATGTTGGAAATCATCAAAACTTAGACAAGGAACTGAAGGCTTACCTTTCAACGAACACATACGTGAAATGGGGGGACCCTCATTTTTGGGAGAAGCTGCGAAACGCCCTGCCTCGGCGGAGTAACGAAGCGGAGGCACATCGCGCTGGTGAGGAAGTTGCATATGAATTGCAGCGCATGACAGAGCGGCGGCTTCCAGCGATAACCGCTCCCACTGCCTCAGTAGATTTCTAGTGCAAAATTATATCAATCAAATATTCGACAATACGGTATCATAACAGAAAAGTATAATCAATCCAATTATCAATCAGTATTATTGTTTGCTAGCCTTTTGCCCGCTTCTTCGTACGCGTGGATTTCAGTAATAGGAAAACCAATGAAATGGCCCCTAGATGGCGTATCAAGATAAAACATATAACAAATTTTAAGTTAAATCTTCCTGCACACAATTATAAAAACCACATCCGATTTGGTGCAGTAGTTTTTATGTGATGCCGGAACATAAATACAGACAGACAAAGATAGAAAAAACAGACAATAAGCCACTTGAGTTAACTGCGTATGTGGTCAAAGTTTCGAAGGTTATAGATATATCTAATATATTGGTTTTCAATGTCAGTCGCTCAAGCTTATCAGCAAGCTCATATGTGAGATCTTGGTAGGCAACATCAGCATAGTCTAAGAGAGGAAGAAGTTTAGTTCCTAAAGGAATGAAATTCTGCAGACACTGTAAGCAGTGTAGTGATGCATAGATTTTTTAACTTACTTCATTTATATGAGGCCCCATGAAGTGTCTGATCAATAACAATTTCCAAATTTTAAACAATCGTGGAATGTAAGTTTATTTTACCGGCATAAATAACGTTGGGAGCTGCTAAATCCCAAAGTTTAGCAATATATATATATATATATATATATATATATATATATATATATATATATATATATATATATATATATATATATATATATATATATATATATATATATATATATATATAAAATTGAGAAAAGTACAGGCGAAAGAAGTCCACCCTGAGGGACACCTGCATCAATGCCGCACCAGTCAGAACAACAATCATCAACACGTACCATTGGCGCCGGCCAGCAAGATATGATCGCAACCAGGCCAGAGCCAATGATGAGAAATTAAATTTGGAAAGAATACCGAGAAGTACAACAAAGTCCACAGTATTGTACACAGCACTGGTAAAATCAAGTAGCACTATCCCGATAATTTTTATCGGTGCAGTAACCGCGCCATGACCGGTACGGAAATCAGACTGATACTGGTTTAAGAGATCATTAAGATAAAAATATTTAGTAAGGCGTCGATGAACAAAATGTTTCCATATCCTCGTGATCCTCTAGTTACAATTTTGTTATATTAATAAGATAATGTTAAATAAAACTACTTGATTTTATTTTTATTCGTTTAATTTGTATAATCTAATATTGATTAAATCGAAATTAAGTTTACATATCATTGTATTAAATACACGGCGTAACAGAAAATTAAATGCATTGTTTATCATATGTAATAAATCACGGAATTTATCTATTCACGAATGAAACTTATGAATTTATTGTAAAAAAAGTATAATTTATTTGTTCCTAGTCTGTGTCCACTTACTATCATATAGATATTTTATTTAACATCGTATTAACTATTAGCTTTCCAATTGTCAATAGTTTCCACACTAAAATATTTAAACAATACGTCGCCAGTCGTGTGCCAATTTTGTAGATACGACACAATCAATTTGTTAGTTCTATTCTAAGTTTTTCAAGTTTGAAATCAGTTTTTTGTACAACGATATCTTAATAAACAATTTTATAATCGTGATTAATAATTAATCTACAACTTAGTAGTAAAGTATTTACAAACATATCTCTAATATTTATAACTCATTCTAATTGACACAATTTATAAAGAATCAACACATTATTTGTATTAGCTACGAGTATAAAGTATTTACAACATTTTGTATACTTTTAGATAGTTTGCTGTCTTTACCTACTCGTATGAGTATTGCGTTAGTTTACTACGCCCTGAGAGTTTCATTTGACTACGCATACATTAGTCGATTTTTGTTTTTTTTTTTACTTTAATTCTCGTAAGATGTATTTAAAATGTTTATAGAGTTTAAATATGATTTAGTTATTATAGAAAATTAATAATAATGTCATGGTCGGATTACTTTGAGTATCTATTTAAAAAATGTAGGCAGATTGAATCCCCTGTGCCTATTATTCTAATACAGTATGCTCTCTCGCTACAGGATCATCTAGTTTTGACCCCGCCTCCCACCTCGTCCTGATATGGGTCGTCGACATCTGATTCGGGTATACGTCTCACGTCTTCGCTCTTTAAGACTGGATACGAAGGTCTGGTGAGGACGCCGGCAGTGTTTGAAGTGCCGTGCACACGTATGAATCCATTTTCACCAAAACTAGTACCCCAGGAGTTCTTGAGCGTGAAGTATATCCCATTCAGTCCATTTGGACCATATCCCACAGCAGTTACAGCATGATTTTCAGCAGTCCTGGAACTAAAGGAAAAAATTATATATAGCAAATTTAGGTTGTTTGAAATTTTGATATTACAATTAAAGTTAATTGAACGTCATCAATGTATAAATGCTTATACGCAATGCTACTATAATGCAAATACGTTTTGCACATACTTGTAGATTAAAGTGCTTGACGCACGCGCCACACACGCGCCGCCTTGTGCAAAGGTCAACCTCAACATATCAGCCTTTAACTGTCCACTGCTGAACATAAGTCTCCTTCTTGGGGCGTTTTGCCAGTAGTTGCCACGCTTGGCAGGCGGATCGGCAACCGCAATTGGGCTTTAGGGGTGTTTTAAGAGCTGACGCTGCTGCCCATCCCTCTCCCTCCATTAGTCGCCTCTTACGACACCCACGGGAACGGAAGAGGTGGCCTGTTCTATGCCGGGACCACACAGTCATTGTGCAAAGATTCTGCGGTTTTAATACGGCACAGTGAATGAGTTACAAACGTCTAAACATCTTAAACGACTTCCATATTTATAATATTAGCAGAATTAGCCTTACCATCTCTCGTCCTGCAATACGCCGCTAGTGTAGCGCAGGAAGCTGTAGCAAAGGCCGTCCACGGTGACCACGGTGGGGGAATGTTTAGCAATCGCCACCTTTCGATACCAATGCAAAGAAACAGGTTGTTTATATAGGTAGCTGTATATTTTTTTAATTTATTCTCCTCTTTTACCCACTCACTAATAATTGTGCTATGTTAACTGCAAAAATCTATTTTAAATATTATTACAGCTTTATTATTAAATTTTTAATTGTGATAAATACAATAAATGTATGATAAAAGTTAATTAGCTAGTTAGTTGATAAAACAGGGAATTCATCCTCATACGCTTTAACCTAAATGGTCACGTACAGTGCGGTTCCAGAGAAATTTACTCCCACGAACGCTCAGGCTGTGGAATAAGCTCCCTGCCGAGGTTTTCATTAGAAACTACAGTGTGGGCTTCTTCATAAAGGGTATATTTAGATTTCTTACTTTAGGTTTAGGGCAACACGTACGTGACACCTCTAGGGGTGTTGCAGGTGTCCATAGGCTATAGTGATCGTTTACTATAAGACGGGCTGTATGCTTGTTTGCCAGCTGTGTGTATAAAAAAAAATACAAATGATTTTATAGGGGTTACTGGCACACTTGCCAACTCGTCTCTGAATACCTCGTAAAGTAACTTGCATGAAGAAAAACAGGTTATAAATTAAGTAATAATTTATTAGCTGACCTTCAGGGCAGCAATGTTGTTTCGAGTGACGTTCACGTGGCCACGGATGAAGGTGACCGGCGTCACGCGGTCGTCCTCACACGAGTCCACCTGATGGGAAAACACACAAATATTATGCGATTGTTGTGCCAAAGTACATGTCAGTTTGTCAGCCGTAGACTTTTTGCGGAACACTTAAATCTTACACTACATAATTTGAGACAGTGTACGCCATCTGTTCCACCATGTCTATTAAAAATAATATACATAGATCATGCCGATGCTCAAAATCTGAGAAAGTGACAAAGGTAAAGTTTACAAGGTTACCGAAACAATTTTCTTTTCGTTGTGGTTCAGGCCTATTTGGGGAAATAACTTGTTCAGCAGTGGATAATTATTAATAGGTGAGATGATGACAATAATGATAATAGTTTTATACTCTATACCTTAGGTTCATATTTTCTATATTCGCCTAGCGAGGGTAGACCACGGTCTCTCACGTAGTCGTAGGCGCGACTGGGCCACGTGCCGCCGCAGCCATTGGCTCCGGTCTTGTGTCCACAGTCTACTAATGCCTTCTCACTCAGTGGCACCAACTTGCCGGATTGAACCTTGAGAGCGCCCTCTATTGCCGCGGTTACGGCAAATGCCCAGCATGCTTTGCAAGCATTTTGATCTGCGGAGATTATATAATTAGACAACCCTTCTCATTCTCCGATTAAATCGAGGTTCTCCACTTTTTTCATGGTATAGCTAATTTAAAATTAACAAGAGTATTACAGTTCGTACTCCAGTGGCTACCAGTTACTGAGCCACAGCTCGTGCTTTTATTGTGGTTTACTCGATCATAATTTTGTGGGTCCTTTAAAGAATGAAATGACGATCAGACCACTGCCAATAACACTGTCAAGTTTTTTTCTGTTTTACACTTTAAAATATAAATGGCTAATCGTGTAGTAAAACAATATACTTACAACGCACGTGTGTGACGGCATCCTGTGACCGCCAATCGAACCTATCAATCAATTTGTCGGCTACGTCACGTAACTGATTGCGCAGATAAGGGAATGGCTCAGAAGGCCGCAGGTCCTTGCTCACTACCACGCCCGTGAGATACTCCACCTCTGACAGGAGCCGATCCGCCAGAAAGTTCAAGCCCATCTTGGCAGTGCCGGCCTGGCGGTTAGCGGACTCGACGAACCGTGTTGTTTGCATCAGCAAGTTCTTGCGCACCGCTTCTTCTCCGCTGTCTATGAATTTCCGTGCAAATTTTGATGCATAGCTAAACACAAAAATATTGAAGTCACACAATGGCTTCTCTGTATATTTTCAAGTAACTTCCAAAAATAAGGATATTCTGAATTTGATTGTATTTTATTATGTTTGTTACCTCATAACTACTACATTAAAATATACAATTTATTTAATTTATATTTTTATTTAAGAGAATATACTTTCAGATTGATCCCATAGAAATTTTATCAAAATTCGTTTAATAATTTAGTTTTTAAATCAAAATAAACGGTTTGGCCATGAATGAAGACGGTGTTTTTGATGCCAGTGTGGAACAACATCTTAAATTGTATAATGAAGACATTGTAGAATGAATTGAAGACCATTCAAATTATAAAAGGTAATCAGGTACCTTAGAATGCCCTCATTGTGACGTTCATCGCCCTCTGGCAACGTGTACTCTCTCATCGGGTCCACCTTCGCCATATCTTCCGTCTCCTCAACTTGGTCGCATTCGAGATCTATTAGATAGATATTTATTTCTATTATTTCCTTTACTTATGCATAAAAAAATTGCTCTCCCTTAAGGAGAATTTTGTTAGTATCAGGAATTAGCAACGCCCATTGTTAGCAATATATCCTGTAAATCAGTTAAACAACCTTCGATGAGCCAATTTACTTGATTTTATCTTCGCGTATCATCCGTCACTGATACCCCGCGTGCGAAAGCAAATAGTAGATAGCTAAATAATTTATTTACATTACTTACAGCACACAAATTACAATACAAACATATACATAGTACACAAGAAAAGAGATAAAAAAATGAAAATAAAAATGCAACAAAAAAAACTGATGTGCATACCATTCTATTTTGATATACGCCACATATCATTGCCTTATTACTCAAATAATCTATACTTATAATAAATCTGTAGAGAGGTCAATTCTGTACATGAAATATATTTCTAAAATAACTATCAGCGGGTGATTAGTGATCGATACTGATGCCAAAAATGTAATCAGTAAAATTTTTGTCTGTCTGTCTGTATGTTCGTTATAGAAACAAAAACTGTTCGATGGATTTTAACGAAACTTGGTACAATTATTCTTCATACTCCTGGGCAGGTTATAGTTTACTTTACTACGATCAATAGGAGCAGATCAGTAAAGGGAAATGTTAAAAATGTCCACCCGTGCGACGCCGGGAGGGGCTGCTAGTTTATAATAAATATCAATTCATTCGATTATTTATTCCTTAAAAAATATCATCAGTCTATACATACCAACGCATGCATGATCTGTGTTTAATGTTTAGTATGTTTAATACCCATATCAATACGCAGATCTTGTAGCTGGGGCGTGGCCTGCTCCACTCGCGTGTACTGGTGCTCGTAGCTGTCGCTGTTGGGGCCCAGCGTTGAGCTGTCCACGTTGACGGCATATCTGCAGGATACAGAGGTTGCGCTCAATCGTTCATTGCGCATACGAGTACATTTCTCTCGTACTGTAGCGCATGCTCACCTGAGTGGTATGTTGTAGCCGTCCTTGTCGCGCGTCACGTGCATTTCGTGTCGATAGGTGAGAGCCTCGTCCCGAGCGCCTCCCATCTCGCCCGGCCCGCCCGACACATTGTACGCCCATTTTTCTGCTTTTTGTCCATCTTCCATATCAACGTACCCTGCGAATTGTAAAAAGTAGAACTAAGGTTTCATCACAAACATTATCAAATGGGACTCGATATTAAATTATGTATAAAAGATTTTTCAAAGCTATTTAATATGCTATGCTCACCAGCGAAGGAAAATGGTTTCGGATCGGGAAGCACAGGAGGCGCTCGATCCGTTTGGCCGGTCGTCGATCTCATCATTACACATCTCCTCATTTCCTTCTCCCCTGTGCGGTCTAGTGATTTCTGAAGAGAAACAGTAAATCACATTGAGACATTATACTTGTCTGCAAAATATCACATAAAATTAATTTTATTACAAGATGAATCATCATATAGAAACGAGATGTTAACTACAAAGTTTACATTGAATACTTCGGGTGGATAGCGTACTAATAGGGTAAATACCACACAAAATTTTCTTCTTGCATTATTCCTTCGTCTAAATTTACTTGAATTTAAAGTGTAGGTCTTATTCTGTGTTTCTTGTTCTATTTGTTTAATTTTAGAGTGGATTCAAAAGAAAGTATAAAACTAAGAAGGAATAACCATCGCCTTACGTGCTCTGTGTAAGGATCGTTTTTAAACAAAAGTGGTTGGCACAAAATAGCTGGTAGTTCTGATGAGTAATATACAGGATCGTACAAAGTGTCGTGCCGTAAAAAGTAAAAATATTTTAAAAGAGTCCTATTCACCTACCTAGCAGCTAATTATTCCAATGATATGAAGAAAAATAATGTCTTATAGTTCTTAGGTCTATCACGAGGTTAGAAACAATATTTAAAAGGATATTATTTGTAATATGTAGAATCAAAAGAGTAAGTGGCGATTTGGTGACCGACCATGACTCGGAGCGTGGTGCCGTCCGGTACTTGCGCTCGGTACGAAGAGGACGTGCCGCCGTGCATGTCCACGCGGTTCATGCCGCTGTCCGCATCATACCTACACAACGAACCGTTGATTAGAAACTAACAAATGACACGCAGGCATTAAAAAATTTTTTTTTGTTTACAACACAGGGGGCAAACGAGCATGCGGCTCACCTGATGGTAAGTGACTACCGCCGCCCATGATCACCCACAACACCAACGGCACTGCAGGTGTGCTGCCGGCCTTTTAAAAAGGAATATGCTCTTTTTTTGAAGGTTATGTTGTCGTATCGATTCTGAAATACTGCTGCTGGAAGTTGATTTCAAAGAGTGGTTGTGCGTGGGAGGAAGTGTCTTGAAAAACGCACGGTGGAGGACCGCCACTCGTCCAGATGGTTGGGATGAAATTTTAGTTTATGGCGGCTTGTACGATGATGAAAATCAGCAGCAGGTATCAATCCGAACAATTCTTCAGAGCACTCCCCATGATAAATTCGGTAGAAGATGCATTAAAAAAATATTCAAGTATATTCAATTATAAACACTTTTGAATAGTAATTTTTATGAATGTACCGTCTAGTTCCAAATGAAATTTCAGCTGAAAAGAACGGTCAAATCACTCCGCTGTAAAATTGTACAATTTAGTTCACATATATGTCTGGTGGTAGAGTTTAGCCGAAATTTTATTATACTAATCTGTATAGGTAACACTATCTTATCCATTTGTGCTGTGAAGCAGCAGACCACGCGTTGTCTTTCTTTGAAGGTAGACATATCTATTATAAATTTTGGTGCAAAAGGATGAAAACTCGAAATAAAACACTATACCAGGCCATGTAGCCATCATGGCTGAACTGTATGTTCCATGAAAAGACCGATGTCCACCAATGGTACGTTAATTGATTATTAAGATAAAATACAAAAATATAATTACAATGCCGTATAGGGTTCCGTGTAATCAGCTTTCGGAACAGTGAGATGGCCCTTCATCATCATCGAGCGGTCGAAAGAGAGCTTCGGTGGCTCGCCCTGACCCAAAATCCGTCTACCTAAGTCTAAGAGACCGCGGGTAACGACATTTTTTGGCGAGTGAGGCAGCACCAGCGGGGGGAGTTCAGGGGATCGCGGCTGTTGAGCCCTGAATGCTTCGATCAGCTGTTGTGATGACACTGTAAACAACATAGGATAAGATATTTCATCATATAAAATTATTAAAAAAAATCATTTAAAAATTTAACATGTAGTGCCGTTACTGTCACGTCCGTGATTAAAACATTGTTTTATTTTCTTTTTTAACAACTTAGAATGTCAAACAAGCTGACGGCCCACCAGATGGAAAGCGGTAACCGTCGTCTATAGATATGAGCAGTACAATGAACATAACAGAGTATACTGTTTCGCCCATGATACTCCCTATGCATTGCCATTTCTGAGGAGTAATGTGTTGTGCCTCTGTACCCTGTAAATTCACTGCTACATCCCACCCCGAAACACAGCCATGCAAACACAACTGCTTCACAGTAGAGACACGAATAGGAGAGAGGTACCCAAATGGACGATTTTTGTACAAAGTCTCCAGAGTGTTTACCAGAGGGATCTGGTAAATGCTTATTATTGTGTCTATGACAAATAACACATACTATTAATTCCACATGTCATAACTCCGTTTCATCCTCACATCATGACGTCGTAAGTAGTGGTTAAAGTATAGTAACATATAATACAATAGTAAGAGATAACAAACTCGAAACAAAACTACCAATATCAAGGCAAATAATAATATGCGCAAACTACGCTGATCGTTTATTGTTTATGTATTTTTTCCATTTACTAACCAAGAGAGACTGTCTGTGAAGAAGGCTCTCTATCACTGGGTAGGTAGTTATTGACAGGACGGGCAGGCTCGGACACTCGATTCGGGAAGACGATGCCGAACGGCACGGGCGGTGGCGCTACCTGGTTGTCCACCACGACCGGCTGGAGAGCTGGTTGCTCGTGTTTCAGTGGCTGAGATATGGGTCGCTCGTAGTTAGCCGGACATTCTGGAAAGGCATCGCATTGTGGAACTGCATTAATTATGAATTGAATTAATAATATTACGTAGCGCGTATGTAGATCGTTGGATAGTTGGATAGGACGATGATGTTGAAAGGATACGTGAAAAGAATTTCGAAAAAAAACAACGAAGCAAATACATAATGTGGAAGTGGAGGGACACAAGTACTTGGAAAGTACTTTATTTTCTTTTTTTGTCGGAAAAATCTGTTATAAATGACAATCTGCTCAAGCGAGATGTCAGTCAGTGTCAAAGCTACAGCACCGAATGAGCAGCAGTCTAAGGTCCAGTTAATCGAGTTTAAAAATTGTTTCACCTATAGAAGACTACCTTATCAGTGACTAACATAAGCTATATGTTATATAAAAAAATTACGGCTGCCTACGAAAATTATAACAACATAACTCAAGGTATCAAAAATTTGTCTATTGACTACCGTCAATATATGTAAAATAGTAATTTATCTTTCTATGTCTCTACCCATACGAAGCCAGGGTGGATGGCTAGTGTATAATAAACTTATGATCGAACAAATGGTTTATGTTTCTTAGTATTCCAATTTGATAAGAAACATTTTTTTTTTATTCTATTGTGTGCATTAGATATAACATTAAACAGTGTCAGTGGTGTCCTGTCCGTCGCCTGCGCATGCTCTGCTCACAGTCTTCCTGTTGAAGCAGCTGACAACATTGTAATCGTTTACACTGAGCAACTACTAGTTACTTTAAGCCAATATTTAGTTAAACGCGAACTGTCGATACTACATTTTTCTAAAATAAATATAATTGAACGGTTAATTCGCTGCCAGCAGAGCTCTATATTGTATATTCTGATCTACAGTTTTTAGCTCAATAAGTTTTGCGTTTGTCTCTGTTCGTAATTTATATCTCTAATATCTGTATGTTATCAAAAATATTGATGTCATTCATTTTTTTTTAATTTACTATGTAAACTATGTATATAAGAAGTCAGTATTAAATGCCACTAAAATGGCAACCTTAATTATGAACTTTCAACCTACTTCAAAAAAGTTGGAGGTTCTTAATCAGGTGGTATTTTTTGTTTGTTACCTCACAACTTATTTAGTTATAAACCGATTTGAAAAACTTTTTTTTATTAAAGGGTACACTTTCAAATTTTTCCTATAGAATTATTATCAACATCGATTCAGTATTTTTATTTTTTAATGAAAATAACTGGTTTTGTAACAATTTAAATCGTTTTTTTAGAACACAATTTTGAAATATTTATAAATATGGAGCTATAATTAAGGGATTTTAAGCGAAGATCGTACGATAGATAAATGACTTCAATAAGTGGTTCTATTTAGAAAGTATATGAATAATTTTGTCTTCAATTATATCATAGTACATTAATTACATGGCGCAATGCAATGTAACCATCTCACATGGCATGCCGAGCAACACTTAATACGATTAAAAATGATTTACATGTATACTTAACTTACAAACGTTATGCAATGTGTATACTCACGCTGCACCGGCACGGGTATCGGCAGCACGAGCACAGGCAACGTTTCCGGCGCTCTACCGTTGCCGCCACCTGGAACACCAACAATCTTATTTATATATTTAACTACTCTAGTACGCCCTCTGGTGGGGAAGAGATTCTTGATAATAGAGGGTTAAGGCCCAATAATTAGCATTATACACAACCAGGTCGACCTCCACGTTGTGCCGTTGGAAACCATCGCGATAAATTTCAGATCTATTCACCGTCAATAATAGCCTAATAAATCTATGAATTTTTACAAATGGTGAGTTCTTGATCATAGGTTCTGACTTACAATAGAATAAAGTGAATACATATACTGACCGACCGGCAAGTCGACCGTCACCGGACTCTGTGGAAACTGTCCGGCCATTCCGGACATCGCCGACGTCTCACCAGTCCGCATGTATTCTGGAAATGAAAAAGTGGAATTTACAAGTTTCACATTTTGTATGATTACAAATTATAATGATAGAATAATAGAAATAGATTACCAATTAGGCAACAATTAATGTCAAAGTCACGCTTTAGGTGACTCAACAACTGGGTTCATTACACACCTACTAATCTAGATAAAAATTTACTAATTTCTCTTTTTAGTGAAAAAATCACAAAAAGTGTTCCCAGCACAACACAGATAGACATTTATTTATTAATTAAATGTTTTAAACAATAAGAATAAATAACATGACTAGTGTAATTTGCGCGAAAATGTATGCCAATCTTATAGAAATGTAATCTACATTTATTCATCTCCTGGTATTATTTTGGTCGCGCTTGTAACGCATCCTTTTGTACTATTACTTTTCAATATGAGTATATGTTATAATAATAGTAGGATTTATTACTTATTTTCATTACCTTGAATAATTTTGGACCAACGGTTATCGACAACGAGGGCACTGCGTGCAGCAAGTCCGGCGCCGGATGGCAGCGAGAACGGTGACGAGGCCGCCCTGCCGATTGATGCGCGGGATTGCCTGCCGATACCGGTCTTGCGACTGTCGTGGCTCGCGTGGCTAGCATGGCTCGCGTGCCACTGCCTGCGGGCGTGGGCTAACGTGGCGTCCGGCTGCGCTGTGCCCGCCTGTGCTCCCTCAATCGCGGCAGGACCCGCTTGTTGTCCGGTGAACGACTGCAGTTTACGTATTTCAGCGCTCGTTGCAACTGTAACGCAATAGTTAGGTACTGTATTCAATGCAATACTACGATTGAATGTGAAATAATAAAGTCTCTTGCAAGTTCTTCTCAACACATCACAACATTTCGAACATTACATGGCATCATACAACATTGACCATTTGGAACGACATGTAATTAAGTTTGTTGAATGATTATTTCTATTTCTAAAGATATCGTCAAATCTCGTTTAAAAGTATGAGAAAGCTTGATCAGTTTTATAGACTCCAGCTCAATAAATACCAGCATCAGACAAAGTAAAACATCTAAAATATGTTACGATTCTAAGGATTTTAACAAAAAGAACGAAGTTTATGCTTGACTGCTAAGCGTTCCAGCCTAGATGGCGAAAGAATTAGGGATAAAACCAGAGTAGTGAACAGGAACATGGAACAGGTGATTTCTAAAAGATCGAGACAGCGCTAAATAACACATTTTTCATCATCATTTCAGCCATTATCTGTTTATTGCTGGAAATAGGCCTCCCCCATAAACCATAAGGAACGGTCCTGAGCCATCTTTATCCACTGACTCTCTGCAATTTATTTGAGGTCGTCATTCCATCTAGTGGGGTTTCGTCCTACACTGCGTTTTCCCGTACGGGATTGCCACTCAAGAACCTTTCTTCCCCATCGGTTGACGGTTCTTCGAGCTATGTGACCAGCCCATTGCTATAAATAACACATTACGTAAGTATAGTGTAATCACAATCATTCCTTATAAGTAGGTACATCATATGTATTTGTCGCACTTCATTATCATTTTTCATTGGTACTTAAATATACGACACGCGAATCTCATCCACCGTCCAATTGTTTGATGACCCACTGACCTTTACTATACGCCATACACGAAAGTTGGACATCTTATATAACAAAGTTTCTATGAAGTCCGACAAGTATAAATGTACTTGTAATAAATGATCGTGATTACATTACACTAATTGGTTGTTAGATCAGTTCTCCGTGTGCTTATTTGGTAGATTTTTTAGCAACTTCCAAAACAAAATTTTCTAGAAAGAAATAAAACTATTTATTTGGTGCATATCAGTAACAATTACAACTAAAACATAAGCAATTATAGACTTAAAGGAAAAGGAAATACAAAAATAAACTTATAGCTAATTATAAATTATGCGACCAAAATGGTCACCACTCAGCTAAGTGTTTAGAGGCATTCATACGTAATGACTAAACGCTGATTTTCCGTGGAACCAATGGGAGTGATAGATGGAGCTACCAACTAGATATTACTATATTATTATAGTTGTATATAACTATTATTTTTTTTTATGCAATTGAGAATGGCAAACAAGCTGAAGGTCCACCAGATGGAGAGTGGTAACCGTCGCCTATAAACATGAGCAGTACCATGAACATAACGAAGTATACTGTTTCGCCCATGATACCCCCCATGCGTTGCCATTACTGAGGACTCAGGTATTATTCCTCTGTACCCTGTAAATTCACTACCATATCTCACCCTTCAAACTAAAACACAGCCATGCAAACACAACTGCTTTACAGTAGAAACACGAATGGAACAGAGGTGGTCAAGCAAACGACTTTTGTGCAAAATCTCCCTCTGGCAATTAATATAACAATAACAGATATGCAATATTTTTGTGTCATGAGGTATATAGTTTAATATGGTTCTATGTAAGACTACCAGCTACATGTACCAATGTCGTTTGTTGTTCCTTATCGGCTAAGCATGTATTCAGGAAAAAGATGGTAGCAAGGAAATAAATGCAAATAAATTATTTACGCCGCGTCGATAGTTAACTCAACAAACATTATTTGTGAATCCTATATTAATTGTCTAATGATTGAAGTCTCTATTATTCTTTGCAATGCAAAACATTGTCTGTTAGGAAACAAAATTTGTATACAGGCAATTTCGCGCGTGCTAAATTAAAATATTTTGAAAAATATATACGAAACATTTCACCGTTCATGGGGCCACCATTACTTCTATGTAACTACAGTTACTTGCAATACTTGTTTACATGCTTTTACTCGTAACTACTGTGTAGACTTAGGAAGTAAGTTAACTACTCCAAGATGCGTATCAAGTTTAAATCTCAACCAGATTTTAACATACCGGTAATAAGAAACACAACTGTGAAAATCGTATTCAATTTTGTGTAGTATTTTTGAGTGACACATTTTTTTTAGATTTTATTACTCTTATAAAGTAGTTTTTTATACTGTGCTTTTATCAGGACCCTTCATATCAATATTTTTTTTAATACCTCCTGTATACAAAGATTGTCTAGTTACAATTCTATTATACGAGTATTAGTACAACAACAACAAGTCTTCTCATTGCCCGACAGATGATGTGTGGGCGGGCGAGGTAGGGGTCTCGGGGTGTACCCCACAACCCCGGCTTCAACTCCGGAGGCAACAACCTCCGGGTCACTGGATTTGTAGCCGACATACACTGATGGTCTGTGTATGTCGGCGTGGTTTGAGTATTAGTAAGTAAGGCAATTTAAAAACTATTACCACCAGATAGCGCCACCCTCACCCGAGTAATAACAGTAGCATATTAACATATTAGTAAGATGCGGACCCGTAGTCAAACTAACCTGTAGTATTATGCTGGCAGGTGAGTGTGCGAGCCCTACGCCATAGTGAACAATGTATTGTTAACAATTGCATAACGTTCTAAATCCCAATTAATACTTTTTCCTCGTAGAATACTTGCCAGTCACGTGTAATAATTTGTAATACGCTACATTGACATTTATGACACCACTACAGGTAAAGATTTTTAACCTTTTGAGTGTTGGAAACATTTGATACGAATGGCGAGTGAGGGACACAATTGGGCACGTGTACCGCGACCGGCTGTATATTAAATGATTTTGTAACACTGAATTATGATGTTTACTAAAACTCTGTTAGTTTGTACGTCTTGTATGTCATAATATTTACATTAAATGCGCCATCAAATATAAACAAAGTCACTCAACAGATTTGTTCATATTCAAAGTCAAATTTGTTTACAAGAGCATTGAACTATTACATAAATCATTAGCATCTTTTATGTTCTATTATTATTGTTTATACCCTTCAAAATTCACATCTCATCTTCATCTTAAGGAAGGGAGGTAGCAAACCAACCGCCGGCACAGTCAGCCTGGGTTCAGAGCTACAAGGAAAGAAACTGGCGTATAATGCGGGCAGTATCCAAGTGCACCGCTTTCTGCATCTTTCCTAGAAGTGAGCTGCCTTGGAATTCTCGTCATCTGAGGTAACTGTCCACCGCTTAACACAGACCTTTTTTGCCAGTAGTTGCCACACTTGGCAGGGTTGGCAACCGCAGTTAGTTTTTAGTGATGTTTTATGAAGGACACTGCTGCCCATTCCTTGACCATTAAGTTCCCTTAGTTGCCATTCTATGCCGGGACCACACGGCGTTATTATGTTCTACAAGTAAAACTTTAACGTTTTTCTTGTAAAGAAATATGCATCGACAAATTATGAAAAATATAGAGCTTCTTTTACTAACTTTAAGGAATTCGCTATTTTGTTAGTTAGATCTGCGACTACATTTCACAAAGAGGTAACAAGGGTCCAATTTAAGTATATACATTTAAATTAATAGACACTGCCATATTACCAGTGGTCATACATTTTGAAGAGTTTTCAGAGTAGCAAGTCGCCTAAGATGTATGAACCTTGAAAGTGTTTACTAACGATGCCCTACTCGAACAATGTTCAACGCGCAGCCACATGCATGTGTGGTGGTCGTGTTACTCAACTGAAGACGCTTAAGGTGAATGTGATCATTAGCCGCTCTGTCTTATGACATAACATTAGTTAGAGGTCAATACTACAATATAAGTGTTTCAATGTGCATCGAAATACACTTATATTTCAATTAAATAATAAAAAAAATTAAATTGAGTATCGAATCCAATCGCTTTTACAGAGTATCTGTACTGTAGGTATCCCTACGATCAAAAAATTATAATAGAATACTAAAATTTATAAAAGATTCACCAACTAGTGTATTTAAGTGTAATTTAAATAAATATATATATATATATATATATATATATATATATATATATATATATATATATATATATATATATAAAAACATTATTACAATGTATGTGAATTCTTTAATGATAAAATTTGACAAAACGAATATTTATTTATATTTATTAACATCATTGTGACATCGTTCTTTTATTCTCGCCTGACAATTATTATTATTATATATTTAAATGTATTTAAAGTCAGAATGTGGTGATGAGTAATTGTATGAAATTGACTTGATGTATAAATTTGAATTATCTGTGTAACTACTACTTTTGTATGCCGTACAGACTAAACATGTCGAACGAGATTGTATTGTTAACCATCTGCGTGTATTTATACGCATGTTTTACAAATAAATAATTTTGAGTCATGTACTATTGTATTAGGACAGACATTACGTGAAATAGTAAATCATAGGAAATAGTGTGACAGAGATTACAAAGATATTTATTGATTTATCAATTGACATGACTATCCGTAACATATACGAGTAGGTATGTACACAACTATGTACACAATACAGTGTTATTAGTAAGTATTTTGAACATACTTAAAATATTTCCAAGTGGTACTCGACTTGTTACATGGCAACCGTACAAAAGTAACTTTTTGTTATCTCACGTAACACCGACGAGCATGTCTACGCACGTTGGCCACCGGGATTCACCACTAGCAATAAAAAAGTTGTAATAATACAATAAGAAAAAATTAAAACGGATTTATTTTTTCATTCTATTTTATAGTTACTTATAAATGATTTTTCTCAAATAAAATAACCGATTTCACTATATATTTATTGAAAGGAACACCAACAGCATATTGGATTATAACACATATAACAAAAATCAAACAAAAAAAAATCTAGGTGTGTTCTATTTGACTTCTAACTTCCCCCTGACTCGGTTTTTAGCGTTTTTTTTTTCTATGTAC